ATTTGGATGATCCTAGGTCTACTAGATTCCTGGTAAGCCAAAGAACATTCCAAACCTCTGCAAAGTCTTCCTATCAGTCACAAGTTCTACTTCATTATGCCATTCAAACAGTAAGGGCTTCACAAGGCCAAGACAGACTTCACTGGTCTATGTGTACCTTGATGGGGTGGGGAGAGTGAAAGGAGGGTGGATTCAGGTCCCCAGCTCACTGATTCAAATACAGACCGTCCCTGATCTACAATGGTTCAGCTTTACGATAGTGTGAAAGCAATATATATTCAGTAAAAACCATACTTCAAGTCCCCATACAACCATTCTGTTTTTCCCTTTCTATACACTGTTCAATAAACTACATGCTATTCATCATTATTATATAATAGGCTTTATGTTAGATGATTTTGCCCAACTGTAGGCTACTGTAGTGTTCTGAGCATGTTTAAGGTAGGCTAGGCTAAGCTATGAAGTTCTGTGGGTTAGATGGATTAGACACATTTTTGACTTACAATATTTTCTACTTACAATGGGTTTATTGAGATACAACCCCACTGAAAGTTGAGAAGCATCTCTGTACCTGCTTGCCACCACCTCCTCCAGGTTATTCACGCTTTAAGTAGGTGAGTCAGAGGAGGTGGGCGGTTATATTTGGTTTTGCCATGTGTATGGTATGCTGATGACAGTGGCTGCTCCCTCTAGTTAATCCTTCCACAAGTGACTCCACCTCCAAGCTCTGAACTCAGCCAGGTAAAATGCCTGATTGAGAATCTCCCATCTTTTCACCAGTACCAGAGGCTGATTCTCTTCTAGAAAGCAAGGAAGGAAACCATTGCTGTGAACACAGAAGCTGAAGACTTCCTGAGCCAGTCACGAGCTTGGGTGCAGAGTGAGGCCAAGCTAAAAGCTCAGACAGGTCACTGACTGTAATTATCCCTCCCATAAGGGCAGCCTTCCTCACCTGCAGCCACGCAGCTTCTGAGGCAGTGACAAATAGCTGTGCCTGTCGAAACTCCTAAGGAAACATTCCTCACCAGGTCTCTCAGTCCAGGCTTCAGTGACGGGACCAGAAAAGTAAACAGACTACACCGAAGAAACAAGAGAGAACTGGTTCTCCTGCTCTCTGGCTGGTTTATGACATTTCAATTATGTTCAACACAATATAGCTGAATTATCTTTAACCTTACCAAGCTTCCTAGCTTTGCAAAAGAAATATTAGTTGATAGAGTGGAAGGATAGCTAGAAGCAGAGATCTGAAAAACAAAACTCACAAGTAGAAATGAGCCCATAAATGATACTACCACAATACTGGGTAGATAAAGCATAGCACCTTTTACTCAAGGAACCATGAGTGAGGGACATTTTGGGTGTTATTTGTAATTTATTTCTTAGAATAATATAGTATATTTTCTTCAAGCAACTTTGCTATTATTTCTGCAAATGGAAGAGGAACCCTAGGTTCTAATCTCCCCAGTTGCTGTGCTGCCATGATTACCATCATACTAGAACAGTTCGAGATCATTCTGCCTAAAGTCAAGACGGAGATTCTTCATATACAGTCTTTTGGACAATGTGACTCAGTGTCTGAACAAACTGATCTTGGGTTTTAATAGTTCTGCTGAGGGGAGGGAGGATAACGAAGGGTCCCATTTCGTCTCTCTGTTTCACTTTTCTTCTCCCCTCAATGCTACGAAAATCTTCTTTCAAAACTTGTCAAAGGTGGCAGGGCACAGTGGCAGGCACCCGTAGTCCCAGCCACTAAGGAAGCTGAGGCAGAAGGATGGCTTGACCCCACAATTTTGAGGCTGTGGTACACTTTGATGATGCCTATGAATAGCCTGTACCCTGCACTCCAGTCTGGGCGACATAGCAAGAACCCATCTCTAAAAATTAAAAGAAAATTTTTTAAAGCATTGTCAAAGGTATACAACAACCTCATAGTGAAATATCCAAAGTTCTTCTGATTGTGGTGTTAGAACTTAGCATAACACTTGCAACCTCCAGTGACTACAGGTGCCAAATAGATTTGTTTCATAATATCTTCAGGCTGGGTAGAGTGGCTCACGCCTATAACCCCTACACTTTGGGAGGCCAAAGCAGGAGGATCCCTTGAGCCTAAGAGTTCAAGACCAGCTTGGGCAACATTGTGAGAAACTGTTTCTACAAAAAAAAAAAAAAAAAGCCAGGTATGGTAGCTCATGTCTGTGGACACAGCTACTCAGAAGGGCTAAAGTGGAAGGATTGGAAGATGGGTTGAGCCAGGAAGTCAAAGCTGCAGTAAGCCATGATCACACCACTGCACTCCAGCCTGGGTGACAGACAGACCGTGTCTCTCTCAATTAAAAACATATGTACACACACATTTATATGTATATGTGTGTGTATATGTATATATAACATATATAATCTTGAGTTAATTCTTTTTGCTCAAGATTGTGCATATTATATATGCACGTAATTTATATATATATCATATATAATATATGATATGTATATTATATATAATATACATTTATGTAACAATGTATATTATATATATATATAATTATATTTTCGTTTGAGAGGGAGTCTTGCTCTGTCACCAGGCTGGAATGCAATACATATATAATACACACTACATATGTAATATAATAATATGTATATTATATATATAAGTATTATATGTAATATATGTAATACCTGAAATACTTGAATTTTTTAAAAAATCCATTTCTTCTTGAAATACAGCCCCCTTTGCCAGGTGCAGTGGCTCACGCCTGTAATCCCAGCACTTTGTAAGGCAGAGGCAAGTGGATCACTTGAGGTCAGGAGTTCGAGACCAGCCTGCCAAACATAGTGAAACCCCAACTCTACTAAAAATACAAAAATCAACTGGGCATGGTGGTGGGCGCCTGTAATCCCAGCTATTCGGGAGGCTGAGGCGGGAATATCGATTGAATCCGGGAGGCAGAGTTTGCAGTGAGCTGAGATCACACCATTGCACTCCAGCCTGGGTGACAAGAGCAAAACTCTGCCTCAAGATAAAAAGAAAAAGAAATACAGCCCACTTTTATTTTTACTTTTTAGACAAGGTCTGGCTCTACTACCCAGGCTGGAGTGACGTGGTGCAATCTGGGCTCACTCCAAATTCCACCTTCCAGGCTCAAGCCATCCCCCCACCTCAGCCTCCTGAGTAGCTAGGACAACAGATGCACACAACACGCCAACTAATTTTTGTAGTTTTTGTAGAGATAGGGTCTCACTTCATTACCCAGGCTGGCCTCAAACTGGTGAGCTAAAGAGACCCACCCACCTCAGCCTCCCAAAGTGCTGGAATTACAGGTGTGAGCCATCACGGCCAGCCCAGCCCAGCCCACTTTTAAGAGACATGGGGCCAGGTGAAATGGCTTAGGCCTGTAATCCCAGCACTTTGGGAGGCCAAGGCGGGTGGATCACTTGAGGTCAGGAGTTCAAGACCAGTCTAGCCAACATGGTGAAACCCTGTCGCTAGTAAAAATACAAAAATTAAAAAGAAAAAATAGCACACTGGTTAGGCAGAAAGAAAAAACACAAAAAAATTAGTCAGGCATGGTGGCCTGCATCTGTAATCCCAGCTACTCAGGAGGCTGAGGCAGCAGAATCACTTGAACACAGAAGGCAGAGGTTGCAGTGAGTTGAGATCGTGCCACTGCACACCAGCCTGAGCAACAGAGTGAGACTCTGTCTAAAAAAAAAGAGAGACACGGTTGTAAGAAATAGTTCACTTTCCTCTTAATTCTACTATCAGAAATACAATAGTGCAACAAGGTTGAATTTCAAAAGTCACAATAAATACAACAGTACTGCAAGTGGCAGCTGATAGTCAACCTCAGTATCTGGGAGGCAACAGGGAATAGTGGTGACTCTGGTAAATTGAAAAGCACATAACCTGTATAAAAGCAGAAGCCACTGTTAATGCCAACCATCTGTTTTGCAAAAGTGCGGATCCAAGTCTTTGAAGAGAAACCAGAAGTCCAGATTCCTATGTGTAATCTCTCTATTTTTCAGTATGGACTATTAGCTTAAAAGAAAAAGGAAAAGTCATGTGGTTACCACTTTGCTACCTCCCTTTACTACCTAGAGGCAATCTGACTGGGAAGAGAACTGTTCTGGAAGCCAGGGAGCCAAGATTGTTAAACCCAGCTCTGACACCAACCCACTTTCTTCCCCTGGGCAAAAGACCTAATCATCCAGGACCTCAGTTGCCTTGTCTAAAGTTTAGAGGTCCAAAATTCCTTTCTTTTTTTTTTTTTTTGTTTTTTTGTTTTTTCGTTTGAGAGGGAGTCTTGCTCTGTCACCAGGCTGGAATGCAATGGCATGATTTCAGCTCACTGCACCCTCTGCCTCCTGGGTACATGCAATCCTCCTGCCTTAGCCTCCCAAGTAGATGGGCTTACAGGCAGGCGCCACCACGCCCAGCTAATTTTTGTATTTTTAGTAGAGAAAGGGTTTCACCATGTGGGCCAGGATGGTCTCAATGTCCTGACCTTGTAATCCACCCGCCTTGGGCTCCCAAAGTGCTGGGATTACAGCCGTTAGCCACCATCCGTGGCTCCAAAATTCCTTTCAATCCTAAAGTACAGCATACAGATGAATACATTTACTAGACAGTCAATGCCCACAAGAATAACCAGGGACATAATTAAATGAAAAACAAAATTAGATCAATGTGCCATAGCAGGCTCTATTACACTGTTTAGACATGGCCTTGGTGTGAGCAAGCTATTTGATTAACATAACCCCAAGAATGGGAACATGTTTACCAGAGCAGATCTCCTTTCCAATAGCCACCCACCCATGGGGACAAAAAAAAAGTACAGATCTCTAGCACATCATGACTCTGGCAGGAGCACCCCTCTATGAAACAGAACTCTTGGGTCTTTTGAACCCAGACCCAGGGTTTCAAGGGAATAATTCTGAGTCAGAACAAAGCTGACCAACAGGCTGCTCCAAGCCACAGGTCTTGCTTGGCAAGTTCACGCTCAGCCTACCTGAGATGAGCTTTGTAGTTGCCACATCATGGTCTCCCGCAGGAGCCAACCGTACTAGGAACAGCTCTTGTTACATAATCCTCAGCCATGCCCACGACTGTGCACGAGGACATGGCTTTGCCCTGCACAAAAGCACACAGGATTTTAGATATGGCATCTTGTTTTTCAGGGAGCACAGGAAGGAAACAGAAAATATGAGGCTGGAAAATAATGAGGATAGATAAATTAAGGGCCTTTCCCACCGTAAAGATTAAAATAAACACATTTCAGAACAAAAATGTTCACATTCTTGTGGTAATATTAACTGTGTGCCTTGGGCAAAGTGAAAGCCCAAATAATGGAAACCCATGTGAACTGTAACTGGTGGCTTCTTCACACAGGCCATCCTGACACAGATCACTCGGCGCCAAGTGAAATGCAGAGGGGGTACTGCCCCTACATTCCTAAGTGCTTTTGTGCCTCAGTTGTGAACAACAGGACTTTTATTTTGCTAGTAGCGGCTGCCAGTAAGTATCTAGTATGTCTTAAAGAATAATTTACCTTTGGCTCTAGAACGAGCTATGAACTTTCTTCAGTTCTATCTCCCTTACAGGCATTTTCTTCACTGTGTCCTTTCAATGCCCTGGCTTTAGTTAACCAGGGTGTTTATTCTAAAAGTCAGTTCATTCTTACCCTAAGGCCTTTGTATTACCTGTTCCCTCTGCATGGAATGCTCTTTACCCTGATGTCACAAGAGTAGTTCATTCAGATCTCAGCCTCAAGGGTACCCCTGAGAGAGGCCCTCCCTGGCCATTCAGCAGACAGGGTCATCCCAAGCACTGTGTCATGTGACCCTAATTTAATTCTCTGCCTAGCACTTCACACCACCTGACACATTTCCTGTTTATTTTTTTCTTTTTGATACACTTCCTGTTTCTTTCTTTTTGCTGGTCTTCCCTAGAAGATACAATATAAGACTAGAATACAAGTCTACATAAGCTTATATGAATATAAGCTCCATGGAAAGATTTTGTGTCTTGTTCACTGCATATTTCTAGCACCTCAAAGTGTCCTGCATATAGCAAGTGCTCAAAAAATATTTACTGAGGCAGTCTCTGAAGCTATTCTGGCTCATGGGGCTTCCCAATAGTGTGTGTGTGTGTGTGTGTGTGTGTGTGTGTGTGTGTGTATGTGTGTATGTGTATGTGTTGAAAGAATGAATGGACAGTTGGATGGACGGAAGAATCCATTCAGCGAATATCCACAAAGTGCCTGTGGTATACTAGAAATACAATGAAGAGTAAGATCTTCCTTTGTGGACCCTACCAGGTCCCTACCAGGGAAGCCAGACATTATAGAATACATTGTGGTGGGAGAAATGCTTGAAGAAGCATTTCAAGCTCTTAACTTTCCTTAGAGATTACCCACATACTATGATCTTGGTATGGGTATGAGGGTAATCGCCAAGGAAAGTTATCAGCTGGTCAAAAGGACAAGACTGAGAAGAGGGGTAGCAGGCAAGGCAACTGAGAAGCATCGCAGTAAGTCTGAAAGCAGCCATGGGTTCCAGGAGCCCCAAGATGTCTAGTGTGACTGGAGCCACAGGTGAGGGACTTGAGTAAGACCAGGCCTCGAAAGACAAGCATGGGCCAGTTCTTAGGGACCCACGCGGACCAGTACCTGGGCATTAGATTTTATCACCTAAGCAGTAAGGGCCACTGAAATCGTTTTACATAGTTTTAAGTGGGGAAGTGACATAATGGTTTCATGCCTTATAAGATAATTTTGTAGCCGGGGGTGGTGGTGCGTGCCTATAGTCCTAGCTCAGGAGGCTGAGACGGGAGGATCACTTGAGCCTGGGAATTCAAGTCAGCAGTGAGCTATGATCGCCCCACTGCACTCCAGCCTGGCTGACAAGGCAAGACCCCCTCTCCTGAAATAAAATAAAATAAAAGGCCAGGTGTGGTGGCCCACGCCCATAATCCCAGCACTTTGGGAAGCCGAGAAGGGCAGATCACCTGAGGTCAGGAGTTCAAGACCAGCCTGACCAACATGGAGAAAGCCCATCTCTAGTAAAAATGAAAAATTTGCCAGGCATGGTGGTGCATGCCTGTGATCCCAGCTACTTGGGAGGCTGAGGCAGGAATGTCGCTTGAACCTGGGAGGCAGAAGTTGCGGTGAGCCAAGATTGCACTGCACTCCAGCCTTGGCAATAAGAGCAAAACTCCGTCTCAAAAAAAAAAAAAGATAATTTTGGTACCAGTGACAGCAACAAATTAGAGAAAAGAGTAAACCATTCAGGTGGTTATTGCCTTATCCAGGTGGAATAAAAAAATGTAAACCCAAACTATTAGTGGCAATGGAGATGGAAGAGAAGAGACAGATTAAAAGCTATTAAAAGGGTAGGATCAATAGAGCTTAGTGACACAGAAGATGCAGGAGGTGAAAGAGAATCCCAGTTTCTGATTCATGTCAGTGGGAGAAATTGTGACGTTCTTCATGGAAATGAATGGCCCTCAGGCAGGCGTGAGGCCTCTGGAGCTCTAAATTCACTCTGCCTGTGAGGTGGCTAAATCTAAGTCCACTTGCTTGCATGAGCTCATGGACACTTGCCCAAGGGGCTATCTGTGGTCCTAGCATATATGTGAGTTTAGCTGCTGAATAAGTAAGTGCATGTAAAAGTCCCTCTGGTGTGCGTACATCAAATCTACAGTGCTGTTGATTTATCTGTTTATAACGATACACGTGGGACTGTACTGCACAGCCATTTTGGGAGGCACACACTGATCCATCACCAGGACACATGACTATTGGTCTAAATATAGATGTGCCTGTCACCTCAGAGAAAGAACAGACCAGAAGTCATGATTCCACTTACTCCAAGGAAACTTTAAGGTGACAAACTTGAAAAAAATCAATGAATGTAATGTTTCTTAAGTCTGAATCTGATCTAAAGATCAAATTATAATTACCTCCCCTATGTTTCATTTTTCTTGACTTTAATTGCTAATTTAACCCCAGCCTCTTCTAAGGTAATCCCATTTCCATTCCAAGATAATTCTGACAGTCCTCAAGGGACATCTCACAGGTACTCAAAAGCAAGTACAATCAGCAAGACGCTCTGTGGGGATCTCCAGTTTATTTCTGATGGTTTTCTTGTGTGTGTTTTTGTGTTTTTTTTTGAGAGACAGGATCTTAATCTGTCGTCCAGGCTGGAGTACAGTGGCATAATCATAGTTCATTGTGGCCTCAGCCTCCTAGGCTCAAGCAGTCCTCCCACCTCAGCCTCCCGAGTAGCTGGGACCACAGGCATTGCCGCCGTGTTTACTCATTTTCTCCTCCTCCAGCCCCCATCTGCTGCTGCCACTCGAAACACTATATGATGTTAAGAGCATGGGCTCTAGTGACTGCCAGCTTGGGTTGGAATCCTGGCTTTGCCCTTGATGAGCTGTGTGACCCTGGGCAAATTATTTAGCCCGTCTGTGCCTTAGTTTCCACCCTAAGTGGAACAATAATATTATTATTACCATCATTAATCTCTAGCCTACCTCGTGGGAGGTGCTTGTGATGAGTAAATGGGTTAATGTTTATAAAGTGATTAGAATAGTACCTAAAGCATAGCAGGCACTAAATAAACGCCAGCTATTATTTTTACTACCACCATTCCTACCGGCCATGGGGATGCCTCTGGTGGTCCTGCCATAGGTTGCCAAAGCCACAGGGGTTCATTATAAGGTAAGGGACAATGCCCTCTCTTTGTAATATGACATCAAAGGCAGATACAGCTTATGTCCAGTGTTTCCTGAAATTACCACTGTGATAGTTAAATTTAGGTGCCGACTTGACTGGATTAAGGAATAGAAAAATAGTGAAGCACTGTTTCTGGGTGTGTCTGCCAGGGTTTCCAGAGGAGACTGGTGTGTGAGTCAGTGGACTGAGTGGGGAAGACCCACCCTCAATGTGGGCGGGCACCATCCAACTGGCTGGGGGCCCAGATAGAACAAAAAAAGGAGAGAAAAGGATTTCCTCTCTACTGCAGCTGGGACACTCTCCTCCTCCTGCCCTCAGACATTAGAACTCCAGGCTCTCTGGCCTTGAGACTCCAGGACTTAACCAGCAGCCCCCTAGGTTCCTGGGTTTTCCACCTCAGAGAAGTACACCATCAGCTTCCCTGGTTCTGAGGCTTTCAGACTTGGACTGAGCCACACTACCAGCATTCCAGGGGCTCCCACTTGCAGATGCCCTATTAAGGGACTTAGCCTCCAGAATCAAGAGGATCAATTCCCTAATAAACTCCTTCTCATACATCTATAGATCTAAGTCTATCCTGTTGGTTCTGTTTCTTGAGAGAACCCTGACTAACACAATTCCTAAAAGTTCTTTACATTTTTACTTGCATCCTGTCCTTCTTACATTATCCTCTAAGGGACTGAGATGAGCTGTAAACCCATGGGCACCCAAGCTAGAAGGCAAGTGAGTGACCGACACTACCTACCCTCTGCTGCCCCAGTGAAAGGGCTCTGTTGGGCCGGGCACGGTGGCTCACGCCTATAATCCCAGCACTTTGGAAGGCCGAGACGGGTGGATCACGAGGTCAAGAGATCAAGACCATCCTGGTCAACATGGTGAAACCCCATCTCTACTAAAAATACAAAAAATTAGCTGGGCATGGTGGCGCACGCCTGTAATCCCAGCTACTCAGGAGGCTGAAGCAGGAGAATTGGAGAATTGCTTGAACCCAGGAGGCAGACGTTGCAGTGAGCCAAGATAGAGCCATTGCACTCCAGCCTGGGTAACAAGAGTGAAACTCTGTCTCAAAAAAAAAAGAGGGCTCTGTTATAGGCTCAGCTGGGTCCAGTCTGGTTCCAGCTCCCTTAGGATGAATTCTGCCCAGGATACTCTTTCCTTCCTTACCTAGATAGACTTTTTTGAGTCCCCCTCTTCCCAGTGCTTCCAAAGGGGAATTTAAATCTGATCTTTTAAAAATAATGAAACACCAGCTGTATCATTAAGTTATTTCTAAGTGGAATTTAGACTTAATTTGAGTCTTTTAACAGTAGACTCTTAAATGAAGCTCCTTAATTCAAGGCTAAAGAATACTACTGATGTGGGCATTCATCTTTGATGATTAAGTCCCTGTTGATAGTCTTAACATTAGGACAGGAAGAGAAAAATGAAATTTTAAACATATCATTTACATTAGCATCAAAAAACATCTAATACCTAGGAATAGATCTAATAAAAGATGGGCAAGACTTCTACACAGAAAACCATGAAACATTACTATGAAAAATTAAAGACTTAAAGAACTAGATAAGTAGAGAAACATGCTATATTCCTAGACACAAAGATTTGATATTATAAAGATGTCTGTTCTCCCCAAATTGACTCAAAGATTGAATGCAGCTCCCATCAAAATTTCATAAAATTTTTTGTGGAAATTGACAAGATGAGTCTACATTTTATATAAAATGCAAAGGGCCAAGAATAGCCAAGACAATACTGACCAAAAAAAAGTTGAAATAATTATACTAACAGATGACAAACTTATTATAAAATTACAGCACCAATTAAGTCAGTATAGTATTAGCCCAAACTTTTGCCATTTAAAGCATAAAGATATGTGAATAAAGCAATTGAGCAGAGAGTTTAGAAACACACCCACACATGTACAGTGCTCTAATTTATAATGACATCACTGCAAGACAGAGGGGAAAGGATTTTGTTTACCCTGTGGTGTGGGTCAACTGAACATCCACATGGAAAAACAATGAACCGTGGCCCCTACCTCACACCAGTCAGAAAACTAAATTCCAGAATGGTTGTAGACATAAACATGAAAGGCAAAACATTGAAACTTCCAGACGATATAACACAGGAGAGTATCTTCATGCCCTTGCAGACAAGAAATGACTTCTAAAGTGAAACATGAAAAGCACAAACCATAAAGAGAACAACTGATGAACTGGATTTCATTAAGAACTTCTGTTCATCGAGACAACATTAAAAGAACGAAAACAAACCACACAGAGGGAAAAGAAATTTGTAGTGCATACATCCAACAAAACTCAGATCCAGAATATACACAGAATTCCACAAATCAATAATAAAGAGACATCACAATCTTTTTGTTTTTGTGGGTTTTTTTTTTTTTTTTTTGAGACAGAGTCTCACTCTGTAGCTCAGGCTGGAGTGCAATGGCACGATCTCGGCTCACTGCAACCTCCACCTCCCAAGTTCAAGCGATTCTCCTGCCTCAGACTCCCAGGTAGCTGAGATTACAGGCATGCACCACCATGCCCGGCGAATCTTCGTATTTCTAGTTGAGACAAGGTTTCACCATATAGACCAGGCTGATCTCGAACTCCTGACTCAGGTGACCCGCACACCTTGGCCTCCCAAAATGCTGGGATTATAGGTGTGAGCCACCATGCCCAGCCAAAAGGCAACACAATCTTAAAAGAGGAGGAACCAGCAAAAGACTTGAAAGGGCACTTCACAAAATACCCAATTAGCAAAAAAAAAATACATATATATATATAGACATACAAATGTGTATGTCTATACATACACTTACGTATTTATATACACACACACCATTAGTCATCAAAGAAATGCAAATCAAAACTACAATAAGATACTATAGGAGTTCTGGTAATGGTCTATTTCATGACTTGGGTGATGGTTTCACAGGTATGTTCACTTGAAAAAACTGAGTTGTACAATTAAGGATTTATATACTCCTCTCTACATACTATGTTTTTAAAAAATGTTGGCTAAAAAAAACCAGGGCCAGGTGTGGTGGCTCACCTCTGTAATCCCAGTACTTTGGGAGGCTGAGACAGGTGGATCACAAGATCAATAGTTTGAGACCAGCCTGACCAATATGGTGAAACCTCATCTCTACTAAAAATTCAAAAATCAGCCAGGCAAGGTGGTGTGCACCTGTAATCCCAGCTACTCAAAAGGCTGAGGCAGGAGAATTACCTGAACCTGGGAGGCAGAGGTTGCAGTGAGCTAAGACTGCGCCACTGCACTCCAGCCTGAGCAACAAAGCAAGACTCCATCTCAGGAAAAAAAAAACCCAAATGCAACTTGTGGACCTTTTTTGGATCCTGCTTCATATAAGTCAACTGTTAAAAGAGATTCTGAGACAGCTGGAAAAATTTGAAGATGAATGGCATATCTGATGACTATATTAATTTTTAGGTGTGATGATGGTATTATGGTAATATTTTCAAAAGAAGGTTTTATTTTTAGAGCTATAAGTAAACATATTATAAATAAATTAGTAAAAGTATAAGTAAATATATTATAAGTATATTTAATATAAGTAAATATATTATAAAGAAATAATAACCTCAATTTTTACTTCAAAATAATTAGGAGAGAGGATAGATAAAACAAGAACAGAGGAGTTGATAGCTATCATAGCTGGATGGGTGGGGACATGGGAATTGCTATAGCATCCTTTACCTTTATGTATGTTTAAAATATGGCATATTAAAAATTTTTTAAAATCTAGAGCAAATCCAAGGTTTTATACTCTTTGCCTATTTATGACTCTTCTCTTCTGCCTCTACCTGGCCTAATCAAGTAAGATTATATAGTAGCAATGCACATTCCACAAACACTGAATCCCTAGGCTATAAGGACCTCAAGAAATCGTCTTGGCCACCCCCTCACTATCAAGCAGTTTCTGAAACAGAGGACATCCCAAACCACATCTGCACACTGACCAGCACAGGCGACGGTGTGTCTACTCTCAGAGAATCAGCCTAAATATACATATATTATTAAGAACCTAGATAGGGCAGAGCAATCTTTACCTATATTCTTTGGGGTGTATGGCAAGATGAGGTCTCTAAGTAGCCTGGCTGCTCTAAAACAGAAGACTCTTAAAAGAGGCTCCTGTATTCTCCCTGAGCTGACCTTTCCTGATTTGTCCCTCAATATTAAGCTTATGCTATCGAGCCTCATCTCAGTTAGGAATCTGTAGCTTCCTTTGCCAGCTGACCTAGCTGGAGCTGCTAATGGAGTAATCAAGTATGAATTCCTGTATAAATCAAGTCTGGCTCTTATTCCAGGATTCAAGACTACTACAGGCCTACACAGTAGAAACCCTCATTAGATAGATGCAAGTGGTTAAAAACATAAACCTGGCTAGGGCCTTCTGACTTAATGTGTCTCCCAGGAAGCCCTGAGGTTTGGGAGGGCTTCTCAGTTCACATGGAAAGAAAATTCATTTTTAAATTTTTTTTAATTTTTAATTTTACTGCCATACAGAACTGCAAAGAAAATTCATTTCTTCCTTCTCGCCTTCCCTTGCTATTTCAAGGTGAAGTGTCCTAAACTGATAAATCTCCAAGTTAATGCCTAGCTTAATATGCTGTCCTTACTGGACATAATGTCTGTTTCAACAAGAACTTCTTGGAGAAATGAACTACACCTTTGGTACAAAGCATTCAGGTACCCCCCGTGATAGCTTCTAGAGGAAAGAAAATCTTTTAGTGTCCCTAATGGGTTCACTTACCTACTACTAATTTGGTTAATGACATGATACAGGCTTCAAAAATGAGGAGGCAAGCAAGGTTTCATATACCCAAAAAGGGAAAAGTTCAAAAATTAATGTATGGGACCTGCTCCATTTTTTTCTTTTAACCTCTAAGGAATTTAAACAATGGCTACTTTGTGGACTAACACAAGCCATCTCTGAAAAGCCATGTAATTAAGGGGTTGAGAATATGGCCCTGGAGCCATACACCAGCTATATGACCTCAAGTTTTCCATGCTTTGGTTTATCTCCTGGAAAATGGGGCCAATGAAAACACAGCCTGCATAAGGTTGATGGGAAGATTACGACAGTACAATATATGTAAAGCTCTTGGAACCATTGTCTTCCCACAGTGTTGGCTCCATTATTTCATTATCACAGAAGCCCTGCTGTGGACATGCACCATCACAGGGGAAAAAAAAGGATAAGAATGGAACAAGTGGGCACAGAATGAAATGAAAAGTGTTGTTGACACTCTGATTAAGCCTTAAACACATCTACTTCTATGCCATAGTATTTGTCAATAATCTGGGGAACAGAGAAAAAGACATTCTGAAATAAGGGGTCGGAGACATAGCAGAAAATGTACATCCTCATTTTTCAGGAATGTGCAGAGAAAGGCTACTCTTATGTGTGATTATACAAACCCCAGTAAAAGAGGCCAGGCTCTTGCCTGTAATCCCAGCATTTTGGGAGGCGGAGGCAGGAGAATCATTTGAGCCCAGGAGTTCAAGACCAGCCTGGGAAACATGGAGAGACACCGTCTTTATAAAAACTTAGCCAGGTGTGGTACTGTATGCCTCTGGTCCCAGCTACTCAGAAGGTTGAGGTGGGAGGGCTGCTTGAGCCCAGACAGTCGAGGGTGCAGTGAGCCAGGATCACGCTACCACCCTCCAGCCTGAGTGACAAAGGAAGACCCTGTCTCACAAAAAAAAAAAAAAAAAAAAAAATTATGGGAATCAACAGATCTTTCAAACTGTTAGTCCTGAGTTTGCCAAGCACCCCTCCACTAGCCACAAGAAGCTAAGAGTTATTGTTTTGCTCTTTTGTTGTTAATGACTGGCATTCATGGTCTTTCATTCCACAGATTTTTTTAAATTTAGGTTATTATAATATTTCATGTTTGCCTATACATTTAATATTATTTAGTAAAGAGCACAACTTTTAAAAATAATAATAAACCTTAGAAGTCTCAAGATCCCTTCAACAATTTTTTTAATTTTATGAATAATCTAGTCTAAAATTTTTCAGTTTTAAATGCCTAGTTACTGGTCCATTATCTCTATAAAGGATGCACATACATATTCAGAAACATTTTCTTATGATAATTAGAATTTGTTAACAGTAATAATTGTGTTTTACCATTGATTATTATGATTATCATAAGGCCAGAGGGATGAACAACACATGTGAAACTGAGAAGAAGGAAGACTGCCCAAAGGGCCTGTTGTCTAGAGTCTACGCAGGGACTCCTGGGCTATTAATTATTTATCTACTTTTCAAAGTTAATAAATAGGAATGTCTTTTTGCCCTTTATTCCCTAGATGAATGTAACCAAATGAGAAATGGGGTGTGTGTGTGCAGAGATGGCAGTCTGAGAATATGAGAGGTATGGGTAATGAGAAGGAGATTTTAGAAAAACAAATACTTACTATCAAATATACTTAACAGCATTGCTTTATCTGGCATGTTTTTATTATGGCATGTTTATCTGGCATGTTTTTATTATGAGCATTTTGATGTTTTTTGAGTGTTCTTTTAAAAACATGAGTGCTTTAGAAGCATAACATTAATATAAAAAGAAAGAAAAATTATATGCAATCTCACAACCCAAATAACCCCTTGGCACTTTTTAGAAATACTTAATACTGTATACAGCTGTAAAATTCAAACACTAACAAGTAGTATTAAACGGAAAAAATAAGAACTTCTCTCGCTACCCCACTCCATCCACCAAAGAGAAACCAGTTTATGCTTTTCTTTTCTGTGAAAGAAAACAATATGTGCATATATGCATATATTTATTTACCAAAATGAATCGTATTATGCACACTATTTTGTAACATGCATTATTCACTTAATATCTTGGTACTATGTTTATATCAGGCAAATGATGATTACCACTTTCTTTTTGCTCTTAATGCTTCAGGCCAGAAGCGGCTGCTCATGTCTTTAATTCCAGCACTTTGGGAGGCAAAGGTAGGAGGACTGCTTGGGCCCAGAAGTTCAAGATCAGCCTTGGCAACATAGGGTGATCCTGTCTCTACAAAAAATAAAAAATTAGCCAGGTGTAGTGGTGTGCACCTGCAGTTCCAGCTACTCTGGAGGCTGGGGTGGAAGGATTACTTGAACTTTGGAGGTAGAGGCTGCAGTGAGCCATGATTGACTGCATCACTGTACTCCAGCCTGGACAACAGAGGAAGACCCTGACTCAAAATAAAATAATAACAATAATAATAATAATGCAGCCAGGTGCAGTGGCTCACGCCTGTAATCCCAACACTTTGGGAGGCTGAGACAGGTGGATCATGAGGTCAAGAGATGGAGACCATCCTGGCCAACATGGTGAAACTCTGTCTCTTATAAAAGCGCAAAAATTAGCGGGGTGTGGTGGCATGTGCCTGTATCTCAGCTACTCAGGAGGCTGAGGCAGGAGAATCACTTGAACCCGGAAAGCAAAGGTTGCAGTGAGCTGAGATCGCGCCACTGCACTCCAGCCTGGCAACAGAGCAAGACGCCATCTCAAATAAATAAAATAAAATAAAATAATGCTCCAGTGACTATCTTTGTATCCATAGCTGAGTGTTAAATTTTTTTTTCAAATACGATCCTACTGCACAGTCAGTGCTGCAAGTACAAACCACTCTAAGCAGTCTATCCCAGCTGCGTGGTACGGAAAGAACAATCTCATTTCTACGGTTCATTTCAGTTTCTTCAGGAAATTTCCTGCGACATTGTTATTTATATCAAAAGGGTCTCAAGAACATGAGATGGCTACTGAGAAGAGGACTGCTTTCCGCTGAGAGGAAGGTGAATATGTCTAAGTGTTCGCTGCTGACT